TCATCCACCATGACGCCCAGGTCCCTCTCTGTGGGGCTGCTCTCTAGAAGGTCAGTCCCCAACCTGTACTGGTGTCCTGGGTTATTCCTTCCCAAGTGCAGCACCCAATTATTGAACTTCATGAGGTTTCTCACTGCCCAGTCGTCCAGGTCCCTCTGGATGGCAGCACAACCCTCAGGGCTATCAGCTACTTCTCCCAGTTTGGTATTATCAGCAAACTTGCTGAGGGAGCACTCCAGCCCTTCATCCAGGTCATTAATAAATAAGTTGAACAGGACCGGACCGAGGACTGACCCCTGGGGGACACCACTAAGTACAGGCCTCCAGCTGGACTCCGCACMATTGACAACCACTCTCTGCACCCTGCCATCGAGCCAATTCCTAATCCACCTCACTGTCCACTCATCTATCCCACACTTCCGAACCTTGCTCATGAGAATGTTGTGAGGGACAGTGTCAAAAGCTTTGCTCAAGTCCAGACAGACGACATCGACCAGTCTGCCCTCATCTATCCAGCAAGTCACTCCATCATAGAAGGTGATCAGGTTAGTCAAACATGATTTCCCCTTGGTGAATCCATGCTGGCTACACCTGAACACCTTCTTCTCCTCCACGTGTCTGGAGACAGCAGCCAGGATGAGCTGTTCCATCACTTTTCCAGGGATGGAGATGAGACTGACTGGCCTGTAGTTGCCTGGAAGTACCACCGAGGGTAAACATCGGGAGTACTACTGAGGGTAAACATGGAAGTAGCACCGAGGATAGACACTGGGACTAACACCGAGGGTAAACATCAGGAGTAGCACCGAGGGTAAACACCAGGAGTACCACTGAGAGTAGACATGAGAGTACCACCGAGGGTAAACATCGGGAGTAGCACCGAGGGTAGACATCGGGAGTAGCACTGAGGGTAGACATCAGAAGTACCACCGAGGGTAAACACTGAAGTACCACCGAGGGTAAACATCAGGAGTAGCACCGAGCGTGGACATCAGGAGTACCACTGAGGGTAAACATGGAAGTACCACCGAGGGTAAACATCAGGAGTAGCACCGAGCGTGGACATCAGGAGTACCACTGAGGGTAGACATGGAAGTACCACCGAGGGTAGACATCGGGACTAGCACCGACGGTAGACATGTAAGTACCACTGAGGGTAGACATGGAAGTAGCACCGAGGGTAAACATTGGGAGTAGCACCGAGGGTAAACATCGGGAGTCCTACTGAGGGTAGACATGGAAGTACCACCGAGGGTTGACATTCAAGTACCACCAAGGGTAAACATCGGGAGTACCACCGAGGGTAGACATTCAAGTACCACCGAGGGTAGACATCAGGACTAGCACCGAGGGTAAACATGGAAGTACCACCAAGGGTAGACATGAGAGTACCACCGAGGGTAAACATTGGGAGTACTACTGAGGGTAAACATCAGGAGTAGCACCGAGGGTAAACATGGAAGTACCACTGAGGGTAGACATCGGGAGTACTACTGAGGGTAGACATGGAAGTAGCACCGAGGGTAAACATTGGGAGTACTACTGAGGGTAGACATCGGGAGTAGCACTGAGGGCAGACATGGAAGTACCACYGAGGGTAGACATCAGGAGTACCACCGAGGGTAAACATCGGGAGTAGCACCGAGGGTAAACATGGAAGTACCACCGAGGGTAGACATCGGGAGTAGCAC